GTGCGAGTGTGGGTGTGGAGTGTGGGTGGGTGTGGATGCGGGTGTGGGTGTGGGTGGGGTGTGGGTGTGAGTATGGGTGTGGGTGTGGGTGGGGTGTGGGTGTGAGTATGAGTGTGGGTGTGGGTGTGGATGGGTGTGGGTGTGGATGGGTGTGGGTGTGGGTGTGGGTGTAGGTGTGGGTGTGGGTGTGAGTGTGGGTGTGGGTGTGGATGTGGGGTGCTGGTGTGTGGTGTGAATTTTCTTTAATACACCCACACCCACACCCACCAACCCCTCACCCCACCCACCCACACCCCACCCACACCCACACCCCACCCACACTCACCCACCCCTCACCCCACCCACCCCTCACCCCACCCACCCTTCACCCCACCCACACCCCACCCACACCCTAAATCTTTAATGCTATACGGACTTTTAGACTCAAGAATTGATTATACAGAATAAATCTAATGAACGACGCAGCAAAACTCAAATGTTTTTCTATGGAGAATTTCAATAATCCATACAAATATACAATCATTGCTGTATGGATTTCGCAACATCTCGTCTAGGAATTATGTTTCCTTTTTACTTCTAAATTTATTTCTACACTATTGGTTGCTCGGTAGTAATTTTGTCGTATTTTTTGTGGAATTTGTGGCTTGTTTTATATGCGCAGTGTTTCTATTGTTATGTTTGAAGTAAATTAAAAAAAATTGTTCTTCATGTTTTTGTTTGTAATATCTGATAAATTTCACATCTGATAGTAAATATATGACTCTTGCTATTGTAGATAGAAATATTATGTAGTCCTAATCAGTAGTTATATTTGCATGATACGAGTGCCATGGGAAATTTTTACGAGGGTTTCTTTCAGCATTTTGTTGCGAAGTCATATATTCCGTTGAATTTAAATAGTACTCTCAATAGATAGCGTCTTCGTGAAAAGAAAGCATTGGGCCTAAAACATTCATTTGGCGGTTAAAAATACAAGTCGATCGGTTGCTCTTTGCTGTGCTCCATCAGTTAGTAGGGAAATGAATGAGGGTAGCTGATATCTGGAATAGTATGCTCTGATATATTGTTTTTGAATTATTACAAAAGTTCCTTTACCTTTCAGCTAATTTGTAGAATTTAGGAATTTAATGTAATAATAGATAGTAAAGACACTTGAAGGAGACCTCTATCCAAGAGTGAATCGCGTCGTGCCGAGGATTTCAATCTATGGCTCTAGATTAATAGCCTCACAATTCGTGCATTTCCTCAAAATTTGCTTAAGGAATGCAAAATGACATTTGAATTAATTGTTTGATCTATTAAGATGTCTTTAATCACCTGATGTGATCCTTGAATAAGGTCAAAACCGGTGCTCCTATGCCCTTCTAAATTTACGACCTGATTTTGAGAATAAAAATCTTTCACATTTCGTAAAACGTTTCCAACAACAATGAATCTTGACTTCTATAATCAGCAAAGGCTATAGTTTACACTAAATCTCACTCAAAAATTTAAGTGTGCAGAAGTGTTAACAATTCTTGATTCTGCTTGTATCTCAAATGTTAACTGTTCATATGCAGTCAGAATTAGAAATTTCCAAATAAATATTATATTAACTTGACCACCTTGTTACGACCTGCTCTCCAGTTAGGTCGTAGAGTCGCCCCATCTACAGTATCTCTTATTATCTTCCTACATCTCACCTGTTGTTTGATTCGTACCTTCTTTATGTTCATGATATATCTTCTTTCTCTTTCTCTCTTCTCTGTTCGAGAGATATCCAGGTGTTTGCACTATCTTTATGTTCATGGTCTATCTTCTCTCTTTCTCTCTCTCTCTTCTGTTCGAGAGATATCCAGGTGTTTGTACTATCTTTATGTTCATGATCTATCTTCTCTCTTTCTCTTTCTCTCCTCTGTCCGAGAGATATCCAGGTGTTCGTACTATCTTTATGTTTGTGATCTATCTTCTCTCCCTTTGTTATTTGATTTGTACTATCTTCATATTCGTGATCTATCTTCTCTCTCTGTGTTCTCTCTGTTCTCTCTGTGTTCTCTCTGTTCTCTCTGTTGCTATATATAGCCAGTTGTTTATGTAGTAGTGGGACTTTTGGCTTTACTTATTTGGATATATATATACAGCGGAAGGATAGTAAGAACCTTCACATATCTCATGAAGTCTTGTTGCCATACGCAGAAACAAGCGTTGTCGTGCGACGACGATTTATATTCTTCTTCTTCCCCCTCCCCCCCCCCCCCCCCCCCCCTCCCCCCTCCCCCCTTTCCACTCTAAAACTAAAACCGCTAACCTGGCGTCGAACTGATAATAATCGAAATATTTATGTCCAAGAGTTCAAGAAAAACAACAATGAACCTAGCTCACATATTCACTAGAGCCTTTCCCTACTCAACACACTGTTTTCGATTTTAATTTCCATTAGACTTTCCATGATTATTTTGCTTGACCAAATCCATCACTCGAATCAAAACTCTCCGGTCAATCGCATTGTAATGCAGGTTAAGTGTTGTGAGTGTCTGTGCGAAAAGTGTAGATCGATAAACCATATGGTACAAGATAGAATGAATCTTTACAGTATTGTGCTCCAAAGCATCGCCAATATATTGTGCTCCAATGTCTCCGATTTTATTGTAAGAAAGGTTAAGTGTTCTGAGTGTCTTTATGGAAACGGTAGATGGTTAGATGGTATACTTTAACACAGAATGAATGCTTACAGTATTGTGTTGTAAACAATAGCCAATATGTTGTGCTCCTATGTCTTTGATTTGATTGCTAGCGAGGATAAGTGTTGTGAGTGCCTATGTGAGAAGTGTACGTAGTTCAATGATATCGTTTAAGATATAATGAATGTTTACACTATTATGTGTTAAACCATCGCCAATATGCTGCGCTCCTATGTCTCCGACTTCATTTCCTGACAGGACAAGTGTTGTGAGTGCCTATCTGAGACATATACATAGTTTAAATGATATGGTTGAAGATCGAATGAATCTTTACAGTATTGTTGTGTAAGGCATCGCCAATATGTTGTGCTCCTATGTGTCCGATTGCATTCAAATGAAGGTCAAGTGTTGTGAGTGTCTGTGTGAAAAGCGTAGAAGATGGCACAATGTTAGATAGAATAAGTATTCACAGTGTTTTGCTGTAGAGAATCAGCGAGATGTTTCGCTGCTCTGTCTCCGATTCGATTCGACCGGAGGTTAAGTGTTGTCAGTGCCTATGCGAAAATTGTAGGTGGCTAAATGATATGGTTTAAGATAGCATCAATGTTTACTGTATTGTGTCGTAAACCATCGCCAATATGTTGTGTTCCGATGTCTCCGATTTGATTGTAGTGGAGGTCAAGTGTTGTGAGTGTCTGTGCAAAACGTGTTGATGGTTCAAAGGTAAGAGGCTCAAGATGGAATCAGTGTTTACAGTATTGTGTCGTAAACCATCTCCTATATGTTGTGCTCCTATGTCTCCGATTTGATTGCGGTGGAGGTGAAGTGTTGTGAGTGTCTGTGCGAAACGTGTAGATAGTTCAAAGATTAGAGATTTAAGATAGAATTAGTGTTTACAGTATTTTGTCGTAAACCATTGCCAATATGTTGTGCTCCAATGTGTCCAATTCGATTGTAGGAGAGTTCAAGTGTTGTGAGTGCCTATGTGAAAAGTACACATGATTAAATGATGAGAGATTAAAGCTAAAATCAATGTTTACAGTATTATTTCGTACACCATCGCCAATATATTCTGCTGCTTTGTCGCCGATTTGATTTTTGGAGAGGTTAAGTGTTGTAAGTGTCTATGCGATAAGTGTAAATGGTTAAGAGATAACAGGTTTAAGAGAGAATCAATGTTTACAGCATTGTGTTGTAAAGCATCCCCAATATGTTGTGCTCCTATATCTCCAATTTGATTCTCGCAGAGGTTAAGTGTTGTAAGTGTCTATGCGATAAGTGTAAATGGTTAAGAGATAACAGGTTTAAGATAGAATCAATGCTTACAGTATTGTGTCGTAAACCATTACCAATATGTTGTGCTCCTATATCTCCAATTTGATTCTCGGAGAGGTTAAGTGTTGTAAGTGTCTGTGTGAAAAGTTTAGATGGTTAAATGATACGTTTTAGGAGAGAATGAATTTGTACAGTATTGCGTTGTAAAGCATCGCCAATATGTTGTGCTCCAATGTCTCCGATTTGATTTCTAGAGAGGGCAAGTGTTGTGAGTGTCTGTGCGAAAAGTGTACAAGGTTAAATGATATGGTTTAACATGGATTGAACATTTACAGTATTATGTTGTAAAGCATCGCCAATATGTTGTGCTCCAGTGTCTCGAATTTGATTGGCAGTCAGGTTAAGAGTTGTGAGTGCCTATGTGAAAAGTGTACATGGTTAGATGATATGGTTTAACATAGATTGAACATTTACAGTATTATGTTGTAAAGCATCGCCAATATGTTGTGCTCCAGTGTCTTGAATTTCGTTTCCAGACAGGTTAAGAGTTGTGAGTGCCTATGTGAAACGTGTACATGGTTAAATGATATGGTTTAACATAGATTGAACATTTACAGTATTGTGTTGTAAAGCATCGCCAATATGTTGTGCTCCAATGTCTCCCATTTTATTGTTATAGCGGTTAAGCCGTGTGAGTGTCTGGGTGAAAGACGTAGATGGTTGAATGACTCATTTTAAGAGAGAATGAATGCTTACAGTATTGGGTTGTAAAGCACTGCTAATATTTTGTGCTCCTATGTCTCCGATTCGATTGTTAACTACAACAAGTGTTGTGAGTGTCTTTGTGAAAAGTATAGGTGTTAAATGACATAACTTATGTTAGAGTGAATGTTTACTGTATTGTTTTGCAAAATGTTGGCAATATTTCGTGCTCCTATCTGTTCGATTTGATTGTGAGAGAGATTAAGCGTTGTCAGTGTCTATTTCATAATGTTAAATGATTCTATTTTTTAATTACGAACAACAGAAAACATAATACAATTCCGTTGATTCATGTTGAAACAAAGGAAGAAGTATGCATAGAAAGCGATGCTCCTGAACGAGTGGATCTATGGTTGTTTTCATTATGTTGAAGTTTGACTTAGATAGTACTTTAAAAAACATCGGTATAATTGTGCTGATAATATGTTTAGTATGAGTATTGATATTGAGGCGGTCGGAGAAACTGTTGATAATTGTTTGCATTGACGCCGCTGATGTTGGAGTCTCTGATGTGTTATGACTAATTTTTTATGTTAGTAGGTTTGGGTATTTGAATGAATAGGAAATGATGGATCTGTCAGGTTTCGGCATAATAATTTAAGTAAAATATAATTTTTTTTTGTTAGTCTGTTTAGAAATAGTCTACCTCGGATGGCATTGGAAGTTCAAAGGAATGAAATTGACTATAGCTTTTTTCTTTAGAAGGGACGTTGCATCTTGAGTCTGTTATCGGTAAATTTATTCTGTGTTTTACATCGGTTCAAGTATACAAGCGTTCCTTGCCTTGTCAGCTTATTTTTCATGTGAAGCTATTTTTTATAGCTTGTCTAGAAGTTTGGATCCAGGATTATTAATTGAATGTATTAACATCTAATTTGACTGTTTGCGAAAGATAAAAAGTAGCTTCGCTCACGAATAGGTGGCAAACCATTTCTGTGACGAGCGCAGAAAAATATCACAGATTGGTTAGAATGGAAAATATCCATGATAGTGAGATTCATGGATGTCGAAAAATTGGAAACAACTTAAATTCTAAGGAATAGTCTAGTTCAATGCAATACACAGATTAAGCGAATTCCAATAAAATCTATTCGGATAGTAGCAGCACGGCATCCAAAATAAAGAATCAACGATCGAATCGAATAAGATAAAAAAAAAAGAAACGCAGGAAAATAATCAAGCAAGTGGCAAACCACTTCCAGCATTCATATAAACATGTTACAAGAGACAGAAGAAGCGCAAATATATTCAGAAAATAAGCGCACGTTGAATGATTGCAATAATTCCACTATAATTAGCTCGAACAGACCGAGAGAAAAATATCTTAATACAGCAAAGGTACTGAGCCCGCTATAATAGGCAATTATCTGCTGTTTTTTTGTTAATTTTCGTGGGAGTGACAAGAATTCGCCAGTAGCAGCAATTTCTTAAGAACTGTACGAATAGTTTCAACAAAAATAGACTAAGCTCAGGAGCAACTTTTCAGTAGTGTCCTGCTTTGGCAATCAATTAAAGATAGATGTAAATAATTAAAAGAACTATCTTAATTTCTGTCATCATTCAGTATGGTCATCTGACATTGTAGCAGTACGCCGAATTCCTCCTGAGTCAAATTTAGATGAAGTAGCTAAAGGAGTTTAAGCATCAGTGAATAGTCCTGGGAGGCTTCGTACTACATTGTATTCATACTCGAGAGCGATAAACGATGTTACATTGATCGCGTGGGATGTCAGAGAGTGTAATGATCTACTCTAATTGAAATACATTAGATCGGAAACTGAATGCGGCTTGGAACACCTTATAAACCATCTAATAAATTCGTATACTGAACAAAATGTTGGAGTTTAGAACATTTGCGTAATGAATGTGGAGAAACATATCACAAATATAACATATGTTTATATACTACAATGAAAACCACAATAACGAGTAATCTTAACAATATTAGTGTGCACAATGGCAATATGATCATTATTCACTTGGTTACAATTATCAAAAAGTACAAGAAAACTGAAATATTCTTAATAATATAGCCAAAGAAGCCATCCAAAAGCGTACAATAAAAACTAAATCAATCGACAATGACAAAGAAACAATCAGTACCTTGGTTAGCAATGGTACAAAACTCCTCATCGTTCATTAATACCTAAGAAAATCACTACAGACACCTCACAGATGCATCAGAAACGCGACAGATTGCTCGAAATGTCGGATTGATCTAATGGCTTGCCACTCATTTAATAATCATAACAAATTGCATGAGATTATTTATTACCGCTTTATGGAAATCATGAGAATATGACGAATGCAGACCTAAAACTCTTATCGAAAAACTAAATTCGATTCGCACATTATACGAACATGAAAATAAGAAATTACTTACTGCAATTTCCTAGATACGGTCATTGTTAACTCAATTTTAACAAAACGTTCAATTCAGTAGATAGTATCTACAATAGTTGATTCAGGTTGAACGTCTCCGAATTCGCAAGATAAGGTGAGATACATCAATGTAAGTTGTGAGATTCAGTTTGTATTCGAAGTTTGTTCAAATTTAAGTTATGCATTCTGACTATTTTTATTTCTGTTTGTTGTTTTAGGTATTTCAAAACAAGATACTATGCAATATTTTGCCATTAAGAAGTTAATCGAATTATGAGAGCCTTCAAACTTGCATTCACTATCTTCTGCCAAAATAAGTGAATTTCACAAACCTAATATGTCTGACAATAATCTCCGCTATTTTCTTATGTATCATTGTAGTGGATAAAATAACTCATGCATTTTTCTATGAGAAATTTGCTTCTTTGTTTCAAATACCTGTTTAATGATAATGATGCATCAAACGCATTCTATAATATATTTTTATTCATTAGATTAAATGCTGTCAAATATACAGATATAAATATATTGGTCATAGTTTATTAATCTTCCTATCATCATTGGCTGTATAGTGGAAATCTGATAGAAGCCTAATACGAATATTCAAAAATGTTAATTTCATCACCAATTTATGAATAAGTCTTAGCTAGAAGAGTTGACCATTTACGTCAAAATGATCTTTGCTAAGTATACATGGTCCATAAATTCTGAACTTTCTCACTAAATAATATATTGTAGATTGATATCTTTTTATGTAAGAATAATAATGCAAATAATATAAAAGATAGATTCATACCCATGACCTTTCATTAAGAAAAAGAATATTATATCAGATGGATTCAAATAGCAATTTATTGTACACTATATTCTATGCTAACTGAAGAATAAGCTATTCGAACTAAGAGAGAGCGTGAAAAGTTTTCATCTCAACAATATTCTTTGTTTTTTTGACATAAAATGTATTCATCCATTTCGACTCATTTGAAAGTGAATGATGTTCAATGTGAAGCAAAAAAGATTTCATCAAAATACCTACTACACATACATGCATGTGAGTATATTGTATATTAAATCAAAGAATAATTTAAACTATACAGTCTTACAACCTCAGGATATTTCGAGCACCTGCTTCTGAAGAAGAAAAGTTTCGATGTAAAACTTGGAATCATTTTGGGGACTCGTCTTCCTGAAATTTCTTGAAAATGTTAATTCTGTCATTATCTGTTGCATTATTAAAGTAGAAACAAGAGTGCATGTATTTAGTAAAATAATTAAGAGTAAAAATGAATATAAGTCTTTCCTTCATACAGGCATGTGAAATTCCGATTTTATCAAATAGGACAAAGCGGAACTTCTATTCTTTAAGGTGTAAGTGAAGTATGGTAAAGTACATATTTTTGGAGTTTTGTTTTTCCCTTGGACAGTACTTATCATACAGACTTCCTTAATATTGATAAAAGTTGAAATAACACTCTCCAAGTTCTATTATTATAAAATCAACAACTAAAATAACTAAAATAATCATTCATGGAACTGAATGAAATCTTTACGATGAAAACTTCTTACCCCATCTATAATCAAGGTTATATTTACCTTATATCGATGGTATGTATCCATGATTTGATTGAGTTTTGAACATACATTCCAGGCTGAAAATAAAAGCTGGAATTCATTGAGATTGTCCAGAATTCGATAAACAATTTCGACAGGTAACTTTAAAAAAGAGGAAGAGACTTTGCCCGACATGAATATTTGGTGATTTTAAACGAAATGCACCTCTCGTAATTACAACGATAAAAGAAAAGAAAAAAAGATAATTGACGCTTCCCTTTAACCATTAAACATAGACGATGTTTAGATGTCGTAATTATATGAAAGGGAGAAACGCATATTTTTTCTATAAAAAGATACAGTATGTTTAGAGACTCATGAAGCGTTCATTAGTAAAATAAATAAAGTTTATCTCTTAGACTGTAAAAGAGTATAACTCAAGAAATATTCGTCATTTATTCACCCCTCCTTTCATCTGACGATTGTTCCCATCGAAGATGCAACAAATATACAAGTAATATTGAGGGTACTACTATTTTTTTATTTATAGGGCTTCGAGGTTGATCGCGAACACTCCAAGATCACTATGGGGTTAAAGTAATCATAGCTGATATTTAAATGTATCTAATAGATATGAATATCAATATTCAAGCAGTCAACAATATGAAATATACGCGTAATAACGGTCACTTTTTTTCTTCCAATCCATTTCAAATACTGAGGAGTGTTCGAAATTTTGCGTTGTAACAAATGATGCTTAACCACTGGAATAGGTAGTCACAGTAACTCACACGGCAAGACACTATCGACGAATTGTTTTGTAATCAGTCTGTATTGATAAGTATTCATAAGAATATACATTAAATATTTTCTCTTCAATGATGAGAATCGTAGCTCTGTTCTTGATTTTACCAGTGATTATTCTTTCTTAAAGACTACTTCGTAACTTCTGAACCACCTTGTTCAAAACAATTGATCTTGTTCCTTCGACTTTAGGGAGGGTCATATGAAAAACAAATGGTTTGTGTGTGTATGTTTTCGGCGGGGTTATAAGAAAATTCCACTTTAGAAAATTTTCTATAACAGTCGACGAAAGGAAGTCGAGGTCGGGAATCCGAATCTGATGTCAGATTTTTTAAAAAACTCAGATAGTTCTTTGTCTGGAAAATATCGTACTTTTCTCTAGCGACAGAAGTAATACTAAAAGAATTTTCTACGAGAACTTATAGTCCGTAAGGCAAGCACAGAATAGTTCATAATTGTTTTGATTTTCTCCAATAATATGCCAGGTGACTATGAGCCAGGCTTGAGAGAAGTGCAGACAAACGACTAACCTCTAATATTCAGTCGAGGGTTATGCGAGTCGCGCAGAGGAGCGTTACTTGTGACCAACGTGATTATTTTTCGCAAGATACTATAACCAAGCGATTCATCAGACAGTCCCAGTGAGACAGCTGATGAAAGCATGATAAATATAGTGAAATTCCAATCTCTCTTCAGTTCTCACACACTGCTTCATTTAACGCCAGATATTCAAATTCATCCATCTACACATGATGGTCACGCTGTGTTCTGACGGCTATGAAAATTTAGAAAGTGTCAAATGATCCAGGTCCTTTCAGATTCAGTCAATTCAAAATTCGCTTCGTACTTTGGAGGGGGTGTGGGTGCTAGTATTCCCTTGACCCACCCACACCCACACACCCAACAATTCAATATCAAACAATACACTGCAACAAAAATCAATGTAGATATCAGTTTTTCTTTTTCTTTTTTTTTCATATTATTTTAAATCACTGAGATCAATGAGTTAGCAATATGCATTCCTAGTGATTTTTCTGAAAATATTTTGCTTTTCTCTTTTAGATTTATCAGTGAACAGCAATCCAAAATAACAGACAAAGTAAGTACTATTTTTTTCAATTTGAACAAATCTAATCATTCTTTTTAGTTATTCCTCGCATCCATCGTGGCCCAACATCCAATATCAAGTAACAGTGAGTAATAAATTCTTTTCTTCATGAGAAAGATAGAAAGAAAGAGAATAGGGAAAGGGAATAAATGAGATTAGTTGGATAGTTGGTGTACGTTAAATATTTAGAGAGAAATTACGGTTAGCCTTTAGACTAATGAGTTTTAGTAGTAGTTAGAGGGGAGGGTAATGAGTAAATTAGATCCAATGAGTGTAGCTCGTCTGTTATTTCGGAGGTCTTCCAGACTTAGACGCTAAACACTGACCAAGAACTATTCTACTTTCATGGCACACGATCGGGCTTCACAGGTGGCGAATACATGTGATCTAACGGTTGCATGCAGATGAGGAAGCCCACCCGCGCGTGTAAGGCATTACGCTCGCCACAATGCCGACCAGGATCGTTCTTGGTCGCGCGTGGGCGTACGCGAATAGAACAGAAAAAAACGATCGCTTCATTCAATGGACATGAAGCGAAAGGAAAGAAAAAAATTTCATTCGCATTCCACGTATGTGGGAGAAAAGAGAATATGAATGTGATTGTAAACGAAAAAGAAATCAAGGTTCACATGTAGAATCAATAGCAAATCATGAAACATTACAATAAATAATTTTTTTTCTTTCGAGTATGAAAATCTGTGGTATACGATGTACAATGTGGATGTAGTTTTTACTCAATGTAGTCAATTTATTTTATTAGTTTCAAAAAAAAGACAATTACATTTTCTTTTTCACACTTTCAATCTTTCCGTTCACGCATACTACATGAGGATGATTTGAAGAAAGTAGTTTTGTCCAAATTGTTTGAGCTTTTTCAAAATATGACAGTGCTTTAGAGTACTCGCCCATGCTATCGTAAACCATGCCGATGTTGTTGTAGGAAGAAGCCAGGTCCGGATGATTCGGATGGAGAGCTTTTTTTCGAATTTCAAGTGATTGTTCATGCGATGAAAATGCTTTTGAGTACTCGTCCATTTTATCATACACTATACCGATGTTGTTGTAAGACAGCCAAGTCGGGATGATTCGGATGGAGAGCTATTTTCTTGATTTCAAGTGATTGTACATACGATGAAAGTGCTTTAGAGTACTCGCTCATTTTTCTATACACTTCACCGATGTTGTTGTACAGACTAGCAAAGGTGAGACTATTTGGAGGGGAAATTTTCTCGTCGCTACAAAGTTCTTTTTTGTAAAATGCCATCGCTTCTGAGTATTCACCCATTTCGTTTAATACCCATCCAAGTTGGTAATTGTATTCTGGTAGTTCTTCATCTGAAGATGCTTTTTCTATGAGAATTTTGTAGAGTTATTTTGCTTTTATAGACTCACCCAGTTTAATAAGTATATAACCAAGTCGAGACCATCCCGTTGTCCAACTCGCATCATCGCGTAAATGTGCAGTAAGACTGTTTAATTCGTGGTCATCATTGCCTGCAAGAGTAAGATTGACTTGCCATAACCGATCTGTATGTTCATAATCAATCTGTTTGATATGATCAATTCGAAAAATTGTATGCGTTGTAAATAGAATTTCAGCCTCTGTGCCTTGAAATAGCTGGCTTGACAAACATCACCAAATGGAATCTTTAACTCTTCACAGATAACAGGGTCAATAATCATATGAAAAAGAATGCCGACTGTATCGGTATCTTTGAGTGCTGCTTGTGCGAAATCCAAGGAAACATCACGATCAAGACTTGTTGATAAAAAATTATTGAATGACATTAGTTGGCCTTGACACTTTTTCATTATCTCGAAATCTTGTACAGATAACCCTTGACCACGATAAACTTTGTATGGAGAATCCATAATCATGTTCTTGGCCTTTTGTTCATCGTATAAATTTTGAATATCTTGATGTAAATGTCGAATAAAAAAGCCCATTTTTAAGATAATTTCGACCTTCATCAGTCTAAGACCATAACTCAGCATTGAATAGATAAAATATCGGCCCGTGTACCACCAAATTGGTGAATGATCACCATATCCTTCCTCAAGTTTTTTAATTGTTGCTTCAGAAGCATCACTTTGAAGACGGCAGTACTCAGCGAGTTCTTTAATTGATTTTTTATTATCATCTTCAATATCTAGGAGTGCTTCTTTCAATAATAAGGTATACATAAATGATGGATTGGTCGTATTAACTTTAATCGGTATCGTAGCTCGATCGCATTGTTGACGTTTAATTTGTAGTACTGTGAAAATGTCTTCGATTTGTGTGCATAGGCTTTTCACCTTAGGTATCGTTTTTGTTCATGACTCATGAATAGATTGATTTTTACAGAAAATATAAATCGAATCTAATTGTGAGCACATTTGAATTTCTGGAATAATGCGTTGACCCAACGAATTGGAGACAATCATAAAGACCTTTTGATCTTCAATATCAGTGAGAAAGTCAACGCATTGGGTGTGGGGTGGGGTGTGGGTGTGCGCATGAAGAAAAAGAGCACCCACATGCACACTCACACCTATTTGGAAAACAAAATTCTGATGGCAACTCGTTGTTCTCATATTTTTGCTGCACATTTTTATCAATCGGAATATGAAAAACCATTTTGTCCAGAAAATTTCGACTCAATCATCTGCCAGGTCCTCAGTTATTTCTGCAAAATATCCATATAGTTTTTAAGTCATTTACTCAAGATTAGTATATATCTTTCATCTTTGAAAAGTATTCAAACAAAACTATATCCAATGATATGATATGTCTAGAACGAATTCATAGCATTTTTTTCTCGCACACCTTACTTAGTATAAATGTCATGAATACACAAGAAGTGCAATCGGCTAAATAATATTTCTTTTTTGGTTGACTCTACTAAATCATATTTCAAGGGAACATCTATGCTCAAGAATCGTAAACACCAAGCGATCAACATAATCCGTGTTCTAGTAGATTTAAAAAATAAAAAAAATTTAGATCGAGTGTCGATTTAATTCCAGAACTGCAGAACCGAAATTCTGCGTCCATATGCTATTGGCTCATTTGGAATTGGGCAATTTTTAGTCCCAGAATCGCGGCTCGATCCATAAGAGCATCTCACACTTTTACCTCTTATGTTGCTTGCTTTTGCATATTGTGCAATTTTCATTTCTTCATTACAAGTGATTTTATTTCTTTTTTCTTTTTATACGATTGTCTTTCCTATGAATGAATTCAATGTAATGTGACTCACGGCATACTATTTGTTCCTGTCTAATAACAACAAATGAAAGAAGAATAACAAAGAGCAAAGAAAAGAAGCTACTGAAATTACATGGCTTGTCTAAGTATCTTTACTATTAAAATTAGCATGATCTGAAAATAGATAGAACATCAACATATATCATCATTTAATTGTACTAAACTAAAAACTTGGCTCATTGCGTTTCAGTAATATAAGAGTTAACTTTACGATATTTATCTATACTCCCATCCTTTATGGATTAGGCATCTTTTTTGGCCTTATTGTTCATCAAAACTATCTCTCTTCGAATGCCAAGCATAACAATTTAGATGAAAGAAAAATCATTCAATTGATTTCGATGAAATTATTTGTAATAACCTAGTGGGTGTGGGTGTGGGTGTG